ATTTTTTTAGAATTTGTGTGTCAGAGTATGTAGAAATATTGGTGAAATCTTTGACAAAATAAACAAATGTCGAGTGCTTGTATCTACTGGAGGAATAATTAAAATTCTGTTTAAAATATGTTTTATATTACTGCATATAGAATCTGTTGGGTTGGCCGTGCTGAAGACTTAAGACCTTTTTATCCGCAGAACAGGTATTGCAGGCTTTGCCTCTCTAAGAGGTCTCAACCAGTATCTGAAAAGACAGCGTTCAGGGGTGTGACTCACAAACAGTGGCAACTTACTTTGAGGTGTCTCACGCTGTGGTGCAGCCTACAGAGCTGGCATGTCCTGGGAGCAGCTCCTGAACCATCATGGTTTCTGTTTCAGCATTGTGAAGCGAACCAAGCAGGTTTCAGTTTGTCTTGAAGTACAAGGCAGGAGTTACCTGTGCAGGCCAGGTGGGATGAGCCTGCTTGGGGACAGGAAAATCAAGAAGCATCTCTTCATGAGCCCGGGTCCGTGGACTTCTGTGTATGTGCTGGTTTAGAAGGAGTTAAAGCCATCCTACTGTAAGTCATCAAGGACTACATACTCCGTCAGTCAACCAGTGTGAGTCACACAAGCCGATCATGATGCCGGTTTTCTCTCATAGATACTTATCTGCGAGAGAGACTTTAATGAGGTTGAGATCTAACACAGTGTAACAACACCTATTTAAATCACAGTGGTTAAACTGTGTGTCGTTTGTGTGTGTGCCAAATTATCCTTGCAGAAAAAACATTTTGTGAAGGAGGGTGCTACTCAGTCACTCAGGAAGGTGATTTCTTTTGCACGAAAGTTTGCCATTTGAAGACTTTACATCTTACCGAAGTGATACCTTCTGAGGTTTTTGTTTCTAGGCAGTCTTCATTTTGTCGTAGAGTTTTGTAGGAGTTTTGTAGATCAGGTGTGCACGAAGCACATACTGTAGGCTATTCTGGACAAAATTTGTAATGCATGGTTGACTGCGATGGGGAGAGCTGGACTTAACAGTCCATCAGGATCTGGATCGTCCCTTCTAGTCTTCTGTGCCTAAGCACGCTTGTGGTGCAGATAGTTGTCCAGTGACCTGGAATGAGACAGCCTATTAATTTCTGACAAACAGCCTTCAGAAGTAATGTCTTTTCATTACTAAAATGAGCAAAATAATGGCAGAGGTATGAAAGGCTTGCATCTGGTCACCAATTGCCTTGAACCATTTGATTCTGTATGCGTAAAAACATCGTAATTTGTGTGTGTGTGCATGGATACACGCAGGCATGTGCTTGAGAATGCGCAGCAAAGCACGTGAGAGTCGTATCAGAAGAAATGGAGCTGTCTTCATAAGCAGAGTACTGATTATTGATCCTAAAAGGTAGCTTCTGAGATAACATAGAACTTGATGACAGAATGGGAGTTTCTCCACCCATGGACATGTGCAGATATGCTTTTTGTTTGTTTATTATACTTCACAGGTTTCATTACATCTTATATATGCAAAACTAATTTTAACGTGTGGTCTGTGTCTGAAAGCCAAGATGAAAGGAGAAGAAATAAACTTTGTAGAAACACAACTCAGTAATTTCCTTTTTCTGCCTAAATTGTGTAAGCAAATGTGGTTATTTCTACAAGTTATTTTTTTCAGAATTATTTTTAAAGGAAATAAAAAAATGCTTAAGATACTTTTAACATTGATGTTATTCTCAAAGTCAGATTCCACAGCTATGCTTGCATGCTTTTTGTAAATTTTTAAAAATTTGTTATTTGTATATGTAACTTTATTCCAGTGTTGCTGCACAAAACTGTGTGCTTGTGCTGCCATTTATATGAGCAAAATTTCTGGGTAAAATTTTGGAAGCTGTCTTTGGGGCTGGTGGAAAAATACAGCAGTGACTAGTGATATCAGTGGACCTCTTTCCTACAGATGTTAATCAGCTGTTCTAATAGTGTGAATAATGATTGTCGCATAAATTACAGATAACACATTTGAGTACTGCTACGGTTCTACCTCTGTTACAACGTTATTTTTTTTTTTATGTATCTATTCTGGATAAGAGCATTTGTGAGGATTAAAGAAAAAAATCCGGTCTAAAGTATTTTCATATGTAAAACAATCCAGGCCATTCATAAGAGTACACGCAGATGCAATAGTGATAACATCAGAAGGGGATTAACCATGTAGAAAGATTAGGTTAATAAAGGACTAATTAGGATTAGGGGCCAATCCTGTGGTAGGATCCATACGTATCAATTCTTCATATACTTTTTCTGTTACATATTGCTAAACAGTAACTCAAAGTACAACAGCTTTGTCAGTGCCCCTGGGGTAGTTTCCCTCTCCTCCCTTGCTCAGGTCCTACTTGAATATCCGCAGACATGTTAAGCCTCGGGGTTTTTTATGTCTAAATTACAAAAATAGCTTGGAAGCAACTTGTTCAAAACAGAAGACTGTTTTCATGCATCGGCAGTACCAAACACAAAGCTGAAGAAGAAAAAAGAAAAGCTGTCTGACTTGCTGTCATTATCTGCTTAACTTGGACAGACATATTTTGCAGTTGGTAGGAACAATGTGCATAGCTTTTGGTCTGCTGTGTCTGAGCTCGCTATTTTTTTCATTAAGACAATGGGCAGCATTTCTTAGGTTGCTCCTCTTTCAGACTGCAACTCTTTTTTAAGTAGCTTTAAAGCTTCAGGGTTTTTCTGCTCGTGAGGTTGGCCCTTGCTAGAGCGCCTCTTTCTGAGCTGGAAGGAGTCATTCATTCTTATCCTTACTTCTGGGAAGGTTCGTATCAAAGAATGGCTAAGTCATCTCACTGTTTTACCTTTATGCCTCAAAATATTGAGACGTCTTCTTATTGCAATTCTAACTTCAGGCAGCAATGCAAAATAGGACGGGGGGAAAAAAGAGCCACATGTTGAATGCAGAAGAGATTGTATGGATGGCACTTTCCCATTTTGTCATAAGTGTCAGCCGAAGCTGCCATCTGACAGTGAAGATCCTGTCACACATTTCCATCTGGGACCTTTTTTGTCCTAATTAACTGCTTCATTCTTTCTCAGAGACCCACCTGTGCTAGTGCAGAAGGCCAGGACAAGCCACATGCACCACCACAGAAGCACTGACCAGCGTCCATGACTCTTCGGTCGGAGCGAATCAACGAAAGTGCGCTCCTGTTCTGGAAGAGGCTTCACCGTGCCTGGGGGAGGTGAGAAAGCTCTGAGACTGTCACAATTCCAAAAGGACTGTCCTGTCCCGAGGATTCATCCTCTTCTCTGGAGGTGTCACTTTGTTACGAAATGACATCTCGTTATCAGGCCTAATTAGTGAAGATACATTCAGTATAGAAATGTAAACTACTTTGTACGTGGAGTAAAGCACAGTACACTGAGGAAAATGGGATCCCTTTCTTGAGATCTAAGTGATGATAATAGAGGTGGCTTTTCTTTGGGAAAATAATTACATAACCAATATGAATCAGAAGTAAGCAATAATTAATGTCAGCACAATATATTGGGATTTTTTTGTATCAATGTCATGAAAGATTTAGATGTTATCACCCGTGAATGGTACATAGCCAGTTTATTCAAGTTGCTAGTCATCTGAGGCAGCACCTATGCAGCTTGCCGTGTTATAAAAAGATCAGCATATGTTTAAACGTCTGTGAGGCTGCTGCCTCAGAGACTGGTTTTGTCCCCTTTTGCTTTTCTGCATTAAGATATACTGGTTTTACACAAAGAGTTACACTGTATTGTTCTGTGGATTGCCGATATGTTTTATTCAGCTTGAACTTTCTCACAGGAGTTGTGAGACCTTGGGAGAGAATATTTGCACGAGGCAAGGAGCAATTCTTCGGAACTGGAATAAAGAAATAGCTTTTGTGGTAGTTGCTGTGTTTCCAGTGCATAAACCTCAAGAGCATTTGGGCCAATAAATCTGTGATCCAAATAGAGAGTCAGAGGGAAAACATTACAGTGACTGTTTTCTGGCATTAAAGAAAGTAACCCAGAACTTCTATTTCAAAAAAATTACATCTGCAACTTACCTTTTTTTTTGCATGCTTTTCACAACATGAAAGATTTCAGTTGTTTAGCAAGCAGATTCTGATATATGCTATGCTCTTTTTAATAGCCTTTTTCATTGTACGTGGCATGTGGCATATTCTACAACTGTATTTCAGTGGCATTGTGTGGATTAATATTTATTTAGATTGAGAATAAGCTGTTTTGAGTAATTATAACATGAACAGTTTTCTCCTGAGTTATCAAAGACCCACACTTAGTTTTCATTGAATGCAAAATCTACATTTTACATCAGTATGGGAAATTAGACAGATTTCAGTGTCTCCTGGTCCAGCTCAAGATGTGTGCTGATGCTGCTGATACCAAACATTTAGGAGTCTCTCTTCTCTGCATTAAATAAACGGTCATGTGTTGTGGCCCATGCATTTCCCTTTATCCTCTCTCCTTTCAGTCTGATGTCAGGGTGGTATGAGTGAAATCATTAAGTACAAGTCGGGTTGGGAAAGGAAGTGCCCATTGGCCAGTTTTGCTCTTATGAGCTATGTGAATCTTATGTTTTGGTATTGGGCAAATTTCTGATAATGTTGTCAAACCAGTTAGCACACAGGAAGAAAATGGTATGTAGATTTATGGTTTTGAAGAAGTAATTGTTTACTCCTCCAGTTCCCCAAATCCTACAAAGAAATTAAATTGTCTGATCATGTGAAAGCTGTATTATTTATTAGATAGTTTTTGCCTATTTGTGTGGGGAAAAAAATGGAGTTTTACTCATGGGATGCATGCAAAAGAGTGGAGGTATTTTCCCATATTCTATGTTTTGGCAATAAACTCAGTCTTAAATATATGCGGATCTGGGCTGGCTGGCTTTTAGGAAGTCTTTTATTACTCTTATGTATACTATTTTTTTTTTTTCCTCACAGAAAGACTCTTGATTCTTGCACCACATATTCAAATCTACTGCTGAGATCAACAAAAAAGAAATGATAAAATTTTTTCTTATGGTAAACAAACAAGGTCAAACAAGGCTCTCTAGGTATTATGAGCATGTAGAAATTAATAAACGGACAATGCTGGAAGCCGAAGTAATCAAAAACTGTCTTTCCCGTTCAAAGGATCAGGTAAGCTTTGTAGTTTTTCCCCTAGCCATTTCATTTTATTAACATCTCACATCCTTTATGTCGATAATTCTGAAAACACGGTAGTTTCCATTGCAGGTCATTATTTCATTTGTACCCATCAAGGGAAAGATTGTGTTTCTAGATTGTGGGTTCAGTCAGCTGAACTGTTATTCTGCACTGAATAAATATGTTTTTCTGAGGCTTACAGATATTTTGGAGGTTTGCGTATCACTGTCAGGAAGATTCCACCTGTTTGATTGAAGAAGCTCAGAAGTCCAGGCAGAATTTACTTTATCCCGTTACTGCTTGTCTAGTAGAGATTGACAGAGAGATTACTGCTGCTTTGCCAAAAGGTAGTAGGGATAGTACTGACAGCTCCAAGTTTAAACAAAAAGTTGTGAGAGAGGATTCCAAATCATGAAAATACTATCTAAAACACAGGGGTTTTTGGAAATGCAATTGTTTAGGGATTTTTATTTAAGAAAAAAAAGTGTTCATGCTTTCTGAAAGAAAGTCAGAAAACTCAGAAGTTGGAAAATTTCTTCGCTGAAAGTTGAGATTTCATGGCTCTCTTAACTGAGCCATTGGTTCTTTAAGAAAAGTACCAAACTTAGCAAAACTTTTGAGGACGTTGACTTGCATTGGAGGAGAAATCTGTGATTTGGACTGTGAGTGGAGTTTTTTGGTTTGTGTTCCGAAGTCAGCTGCTTTATTTTTCATTAAATTGTGTCCTTGAACAATGGTCCTCATATTTCATTGTAGAAAACTTCAGAAAAAATAGCCGTTTCTATAAAGTGCCTTAGTTCACAGAGTTGACAGTGACTAAAGAAATTAACCTCCTCCACACAGCTTGCAAGAGCATATCTGAACAGAAACTTCACCAAAAGAGCTAACGGTGTGCTCCCATTTCAAGGACTGAGCAAAATGAGAATTAACAGAAAGGAAGTGACTTGTAAAGCAGTGTATAACAGCACCATCTGCTGGCTTCTGTCTTATTGTGAAAGACATGGGAATTTCCCCCTGGGTCTGGAAATCTCTTACGTTTTATATAAAAATATCAATCCTTTTTTAAATGTGAAAATTACCTTGAGGTTGTCTCCTTTGGAAGTGCTTGCAAGTGAAAATTTAGAGGAATTATTGACTGCCTTAAAACCCTGAACAGGTCACTTCTGTATGTTCCAGTTTTTCCATTTATAAAGCGGTAGCATGTTTTCTGCCAGTCGATGAAAAGGCTTGTGGAATAGTTATCCTACTAAATTTCTTTGAGGTCAAAATTGTTTGGTGGATCTTGGGAAATCCATTGTTGTCTGTGGGCCTTACGAACATGAAAGCTTAGGCTCTTTGAGCACTCTGTGCTTAAGAGTGTCGTATGCTTAAATGACATCTGCTACGTTTGACTCGTTTTGCTTCTGCCCAGTGCTCTTTCGTCGAGTATAAGGACTTTAAGCTGGTATACCGACAGTACGCAGCCCTTTTCGTAGTCGTTGGAATCAATGAGACAGAGGTAAGAAATTCTATACGCTCTTGAAATGAGAGCTTGTAGTAGTCATGGGCAAGAACTCAAGCCTTTTCCCAGCAAGGAATTTTGCAATACTAATTACAGAATTTCAAGGAGTCATCGCAAAAAAGATGTTTTTATTTCTGTGAAATAAGAAGAGGTATAAAAGGAAATGTATGTTTGACTTCATTCCATAGCAGTAGCCTGAACTGTTCTCATGAGGCAGTCTTCATGAGCCTTATACTGATTCTGCTTTCTAAATTTATGTCTGATTAAACAAATTTATGTAGGGTGGGGTTTCTCAACAAATGTTAGCGTTGCAGCCAGATCAGCTGTCTCATCTGCAGTGACTTCCCAGCTACTCACTGTTTTTAACATCCTTGGCCAAAGAATTATTCCCAGACACTCAGCTAGAAATATGCCAATTTTTTGTATTTTTTAAAAAAATAAACAAAAAAAAAGGTATCTGACTAAAAATTGACAAATACTGTTACTTCACCTGTGTGGACTGAGCCTGCAAGGCTTGAGTGTTTACATTGATTCCCAGTTCTCGGAAATTAATTCAAAGCTTACTATTGGAGACTTTAATTAGGTGGTGTGGAAAGTAGCTGCTGACTGCCACAGTGTCTTCAAGTCACGCTTATAATGGCATGCAGTTTTGGCCAAATCCTTTTGGCTTTGCTACACCACACAAAAATCGCCCATCGGTACTGCTGCAGCGTCGCCTGGCTGTGTGCTGCAGCTGGCCGGTGTCCCTTTGGCGTGGGTAGGCATTGCCTCGTTAGCCGTGTCTATCTAGCTGACCTGGGTGGTGGTGAACAGCGGATGCTGTGGGGTGGCGGCAGCCCGGGCGAGACAAACCCGTTGGGTACTGCAGTGCTGACTTGGGTGGCTGGCCTGAAGCTTCTGCCCTGAGTGCTCCCCCGCTCTCTGTACCTCCGCTGGGTAGCCACACTGCTCTCGCTATGGTGGCCTCGGCTTGTGCGCTTTATTGTAGGGCTTACTGTATTTTGTAGGTGCTTTTCATACACCACGAACTGAAATAACACAAAGAATACCATTACATTTTCTACCTATTCATTTAATACTCATTTGTTTTTAATTTCAGAATGAGATGGCAGTATATGAACTAATTCATAATTTTGTGGAAGTTTTGGATAAATACTTCAGCAGAGTGGTGAGTGAGACATCGACTCTGTTATGAAATATTTATTCTCTTTCAAAGGTTTAGTGAATATGTCATTTCAGGAAATAAACAAAAGAGAAAATTTTTTTTCATATTTGTTTAGAATTTTGAATACTTTAGCAGGAATATTACCACTTTAAAAAAAAAAAAGAAAAAAGGGAAAAAAGCGGTATTAGTTGATTTTTCACAGAAGTAAAAGTATACGTGGGTTATAAATCATCATCAGACAAGGAATACCAGAAATACTTCTCTTAGAAAAGCATGTTTTTATATGCTTACAGTCAAGGGTTTCTTTGGGTCATCTACTCCTAAATTAGCCACTGGCATGTTACACATTTTAGAGAAATAAAGAGGTTTTTCTTTACAGTTCTTTTTTGCAGTTCTTAGGATTATGTCCCCCAAATGCACTTCATTCATGATAAAGATGAGGTAAGCATTAAGCAGGGTGCTGATGTCACGCTCACTGAACAAGATCAGAGGGGTGGAGCAAGTGAAACCTCAGAAACCCGTCTGTACTTGTGCTCCCCATATTGTTGTCATGCAACAGTGGATATCTGATAAAACAGCTACTATACAGCTAGTCATTTGGTTGAGGATTCAACGTTAGACATGGCTCCATTTAGAATGACACTGCTTCTTTTGGTGGGAGATTTGTTTGTTTTTACAAAGTTTGAAAGCGCAGCATTATAATCCTGGTTGGAACACATGCTATTTCGTATAGGATTTGTAATAATCTTGTAATAAACAAATTTGCCTGAAATCATACTTGGGCATGGTGTCAGTTTGTCTATGCTGAGATGTGTTGGATATCCCTCTCAGAAAAGAGCTTCCTCCATAGTCCATGTACTTGAGGGTATTACGTTGGTAGTTATACGTACGGCTGATCAGTATGCAGGGTCTGTAACGGGTTTCCCAGTGCTGGTACCACAGCAGACGTGGCAGAGCTGCCTCTGTGAATTCAAGGATATACTTGAAAAAGTCATCTGCACCCTTCACTATTCAGATGCCCGGCAAATGTTTTAGGATGTTATCTCAGCTAATGTTGCACCAGCCCGTTGAAACTGCTGGTACAAATTATATCCCTTTCTGACTGTACTAAGTTCAGAATTTGTCTCTTAAAATTGTTGTGATTGCAGTCCCGACCTAAGCAGTGATAACCAGGAATGGAATTTGATCCCGGCAGCACAGGAATGCACAATAAAACTTAGTCACATCCTATTTATCCAATTGAGCTAATAGTTGCCAACCACTTCTCAACTTTTATTTTCTTCACTTGAGGCTGAGCAAAAATAGATGTAGCTCTTGTACATATAAATGTAGTATATATAAATCCTGGACCACGTATATAACCCAACCACTGATAGCTGTTAGAAATTTGCTGAATTCATCATACCAGATTTTTTTGTGTTTTCCATAGCACTGAAGGTTTGAAACTAGGGGAACCAAAAAAGGGGGTGGTTAAACAAATCTCATGCCATTCTGTGGTTCTATTTTTAATAGCATATACACATGATAAATGGCAGAGCGCTGAAGAAGAGGGCTATAATTCTAGCTGGGGTTTCTGGCAGAAACCACAGAGCAAGGAAGTCTAAGGCTGTACTATTACAGATTAATGTTTGGGATTTTCAGAATTTTAGCAGAATCCCAAATTAGGATGATGACAACAGACGAAACTCTGGGAAAGGAAAGAACATCTGTCCTGCTCTAGAGGACATTTTGTCATCTATTATTTTTAGGCTTCTGAGCTTTAAACATTCTCACATACTCTATGTTTATCTAATAGAGTTTACAGAGCTTGAATTCAAATATCAGAACAAACATTAACAGAATTAAGTGGAAAGCTTTCAAAGTTGCTTGTGAGATGTAATTCTGAGTCCCTTTTGCTTTTATAATGGCTACCCAGGGAAAACTCTGCACAATGCTTTCAACTACTTTTTAATGCTTAGGAAACTCAAACTGAGTAGGCTCTTAAAATACAGTTTTTGTGACACATAAAAAATTTCTAATTGAAGAATGGCAGGATCACTCAGCAGAGGCCTGTAGACTAGAGCTAGTCCAGTCTAGAGCATCTTTAGACCATAGAAGTAGTAGCAATTTTACCAGTGGGAGCTCTGCCTCCAGGGTTAGACTATGAATGGAAACCACGTTTGCAAACTAAATTCCCTCAGTAGCAGATAAAGATTCCCCCTTTCAGCAGAGACTGGGGAAGCTCCACCCTAACTGCAAGATCTTAACTGCTGAGGCTGTGATTGTTTCTAAATTTAGATGTTTAACTGAGGCACCCAAGTTAGAAGTTGGGTCATCCTAAACTCCCATGAGCAGCAGTGGAGACTGATGAGTATCTCGAGAAAGTGAGTCATGCCTCAAGTGTGCTGAGTTAACTGTTGAAGATACCCATCTCTTCTGTTGACTGCAGAGAGGGCTTCTCACTTAGACATTTTGGCTAAATGAATGAAACTACTTGGAGTAAATCCAGGCCAAGACCAGAAGGGAAATGATGACTATGTGAAGAATTGCATTGCTGAGGCTGGAGCAATAGTTAGAAGTGCTAAGGGTCAAAAGCCTGGAGTTACCTTCCCTCTCCTAATTTATCCAGCCATGGGTATACACAATGTCTAGATTTTGCTGTTGAAATGATCTGCAGCAACATTTTTAACTGTGTTTTTATATCAATTGAAAACTTGGCATTAACATCCTGTTTTTGCAGAAGGAGGAAGAGAGAATATGGGGCTGGAGTTGCCATGGTCAGAGCTGCTGGTTCTCCACCCGCTCACTCCGATGGCACTGCATAGATTCAAATTGTTACTTATGGGTGACCTCAGTGGGTTTTTCTCAGTAAAAATTTCAGGACGTTAACTTTTGTTACGGAGGCAGGTAACACATAAAAGACAAGGCAGGGCTGCAGGAAAGAGCATGTAGTTATACGGTCCAGAACAGAAATCTGAATCACCCTAAAATTTTGTATCTATATTTTGAAGACTTTCTTTATCTTCTAAAGGGATGTGTAATGTTTAATGACTATGAGATGAGAGATCAAACTGTAACTAATGGCTGTCCCTCTCTTCCTTGCAGAGTGAATTGGATGTATCCTTTTCAGTATCAGAAATCCATTTGTGTCTATCTCTTTTGGTGTGCGTTCCAGTTTATGCTGTCTTCATAGCACTGACTGTCAAACAGTCAAGACAATGCAGAGGTTTCACAAATTTTGCACTTACAGTAAGTAGCACCATTTTGGCACCTTTCTGAAAGCATGGCTGATGTTCATGAGGGTCACCTGTTTAAATCCTCAGTCATTGAAATAAGGCTGGTACCATTTAAAGTAAGACAGGGAGAGCTTGCTCAGAGAGAACCAAGTACCACCTAGACATGGAAAGTTATATTCATGGGGGAACTTTCAGGCTTAACTAATTATTACTTCAGGGGCTTACTTTTTTCTTTAAGTTTACAATAAAATAGATATTGAAATGACTGCAGCAATAAGAGCTGAATGTTACAGCTGTGTCTTGAGCCAAATAGCAGTAGCATCATTGTAAGATTAGGTTTGCGCTTTGATCTTGCTCCATGAAAGTCCAGGTGAGTTTTACTTTCTATATCAATGGAAAGAGAGAAAGGCCTGAGAGGCGGAAATTTAGAAAACCAGGCATTGCCACAGAGATCTTTTTCTTCCCCCCAACCCCCACTTTACACAGCTGTATTTTCATGTGTATGATTTGCAGGCTATTAGCTAAAATAAAATTTTAAAAAATGAACTACAATCAATTACAAATACTAAAGTACAGTCCTGAATAATTAAACACAAATAGCAAGTAAATGAATTATATTACTGAATTCAAAGAAAATTAAACCAGGAAAATGTAGTACAAACAGTCATCTTCCTCCCCAGTTCTTCCAGTCCTGCTGCCTGCTCACTCTTCTCCAGCAATCCTTGTGCCTATGTTTGTTGTCGGTTAAATGCAGATCTACTGGTACAAAGAGGCTTCAGTTATACATCTGAAATACAGCTGCCACCTTGGAATCAAATACTTTATTTAGTTTATTTACCTTATTTAAGAATTAGTACATATGAAGAACATAGAAAAATTCTGTAATTTTTCTTGTAATTGTTCTCACTTCTTTACTGAAAAAGACCAAAAGGAAATAATTAATTTAACTTTTGTAAATATTTTAATGCTTGCTGTGTAATGGAACTCTGTCTCATTTACTGAACTTAGATATATATGTATGTGTATACATATACATAGATACGTATCTGTATTTCCTTCCTGAGCTTCACAAATGCTGTGGTATTAATAAACACTCCTAAATTCAGTTATATTATAAAAAAGCAACAATGAAATTTCAGCATGAAGACACTCTTAAGGTCTCTGAGCGATTGTGTAACTACATTTTTTGTGTTTGGTTATTATAGTTAAGGCTAGAACTACAAGTACTTGTGCATGAGCTTTGCTGAATTAGAGACTAACCTGACCTATTCAGTAATTGTATGTAAAAATGGCCCCGCGTGTTTCCATATGGTGTACTTTGAATCTGCAGTTACCTGATTTTTTTATCTTAGATTGTTTGGAGTACTGATGATTCTAAATTCTGCCTGCCTGTGGTCATCGTTTTCATACTGAGAGGAATTGCCTGTAGTTACATACTTACAGTTGTCACCAGTAGCCCATTTAATAGCTGAGAAAGGCTTCTGTGTATGGTGCGAGTCTGTGCTGTGTAGAGGAGTTGCACTGTGCGCTCACACGAACATCTGCAATAGCTGCAATAGTGTCTGATGTCTCCTGTAGAAATTTGTTTCCTACATGGGTCTTATCTGCATGAGGACATGAATATAAATATTTGGAAAATAGGAGTGTTCATTACTATCTTATTTGATAATACTGGAAATAATATAGGAAAAGCTCATGTCTGGTATGTCTCTCTTCAACACGTATGACACATACATGATATACACAATTTTTCCATTCAGAAATGTACTTTTATACCTTACACACTTCAGGAACAATTTTAAAATAAAACATTTTACTTCTTTATATGTACAAAATAATTCTCCCATTTAGGAAAAAGCGCTTTCCATAACTAGTTGAAATTAAGTGAGATACACCTGCAAAATCAAATGTAAAGCAGATGTGTAATGGTGAAGTGAGCTCTTTAGGGTTGTATTTGGTTTTGACTACAACTTGAATAGCAGGCCAAAGAACAATTTAAGATCTGGCCTACAAGTGTCTTAGAGGTTAATGCAGTGCAAGCAATAATCCATCAATATGCCTTTCATAGTGTAGAAGATAATATCCCCACCTGGGATTAAACTATTATTTCCTTTACCAAGAAGTCTACGTTCGTGTGTTCTGCACAGTTAGCTTGCACGCCAGATATCTGACGGAGGCAGCACGGGTGCAGGTCTGTAACTGTGACCATCAAGCAGTATTTACAGCATCTTTGTGCACGGAGTGGCTGGTGGGAGACTGTCATGATGTCCGGACTCTGCACTGTTCTTTTTATGTACAGATCCGTAGGAAGTTCTTTGCGAAAGTGATAGTGGCTATTCTATACAGAAAGTAGCGTTTACTAACATGAAAAAAAATAGTAGGAAACTACATGAAATCAGAAAACATGAAAAATAGCTGATAGTCACTGAAGGCTATTCACCCATGCACAGAGCGAACCCCAGTTAAATGTAAAGGCTGAGACCGTCACGCAGGTGAAGTGTTGCTGGAGTCCACGCCAAGCCTGCAGCAGGCGCACCAATTCCTGACGCTTCCCAGCCGCAGTGCAGTCCCCCAGCGTTCCTGGCAGCGCAGCTCCTGCTGGTGCAGGACTCCAGCTCTCATTGCAGTCCAAGCACCCGCATTCACCCAGGACAGCCCTGTCCTATCTCACGGCCCGGGTCTGGAGTCAGCTCTCAGGAAGGGCACCTTGGGCCCAAGGCAGAGACTGGGTCCAGCCCGACTCCTGCCCAACAGGCTTCACACACAGTACTTGCATGTGGGTATGACACAGGGGTGTGTGATGCTGAGCAATGAATGAACCATTGCGAAGTTCTCATGCATACTGCAAAAATGGACACGGATTAGGTACTAGCCAGTGAAGTAACTACTTTAACTCTAGAGCAGCCATGGCTTTTATGGAAGCTTCTATGTGTGAATTGTAAAGCATTTAGCCATTATATGATGTCCACTTTCCTTCTGAGAGTCGGTCACATACCTAAGGGTACCTGTGACAGAAAGACGTAACATTTCTAAAGTTCTTTGGTTTGTTTGTAAAATATCTCTTAAGTAGTGTTGTTGGGCCAGCTGAACAAACAAGTACTGCCGTTGTGCTAGGGTGTTGCTTCCTAACATGTTGGTAGCACCAGATGAGCCTCGCTCCTGTGTGTGAAGCAGGTGGGTGGGATTTTCTGTACCTTTGAAACTCCACCTTGGATGGCATAGGAGCTACTTTCTTGGTGTGATGATGACAAAGAGACTACAAAAACGCAAGTGTTACCACAGCAGCTTTGTGGGGAACAATGTGCTGGTAAGCATGAGAGCTTCTAAAATTACAAAAAATTGACTTTTCTATTGCTTGAACTGATGAAGCAAAGCTTACTTGAAGACACATTATCTTACAGCGGAAACAGATACATATGTTCCCCTTGTGGGAGGAGAGGGGGAAGACAGGGTGCTTTAGGACCAAGCTTTTGAAGAATGTTGTCTTAATCCAAAAAAACCGCCATTACATTCCATTGCAACTAGCTGCTGCTCCTGGGAAAGTTCAAAAGCTTTGATACAGGGAGTGCTTCATGTGAATCAGCTGTGTTCTTCGCTCCCCCGTGGAGTAACACTTTCAGCATACCATGCATTGAAGTAGTAGGAAAATTGAATGATGGATTTATTCTGAGAATTTATAAGGATACACTTCAGTTTGTGCTGTAAAATAAGTGGATGAAACAGAAACCTGTACGGATTAGCTTGAAACTGTTGTTCTAGAATAGCACAGAACTCGAAGGCACTATTTGTCTCCTGTTTAATGTCAGCATAGTTGTTTGAGGAAGAAATGGTCAGAAAGCATTAAGTGGGTTTTGGTGCCTGAAACTTGCCTGCCATTAGGCAGGCTAAACGTTACTTGAAGCGAATATTAGCAAAGGTAAAGTTGGAGTTTGTGACTCTAGATTTAAAAAAGAAGCAACTCCAACTAATCTTTAGTTGACTATGAGTGTCCAGGATGGAAATCAAAGTTTTGTAATGCTGTATGTTCGGTGGCAAACCATCTGCCCTATAAGTGCCCATGCTGTAATCTACAAAGCTTTTCTTTGTGCTTCTGGGTGTGTTACCTGATCACAAGGTGTTGGCTGCACTTTATCATCTCTTAAGCCTGTACACACCCTTAACTACTTGCCTGGAAAATCCTGAGCTATCTTAAAATGTCTCTGCGTGAAGAAGTTATTTATCCCATGCAAGTCCTAAATGTGGCTTTTTCCTTTCCTTCCCTCCTCCCTCCCCTCTCCCCTGCTTAACTCTCTGCCCATAGAATGATTTGGGGAAAGAGACACAAGACTGTGTCACGTTTACCTCCTCGTAGTAAGTATGTGCCAGAAAACTCTTTCTGACAGTACAAAAGTACCATTAATGTCTTTAATAAAGGCAGCTCTTAAAGTTACTAAGAGCCAGCATAGTATTTAAATACCAGTTGTAGTAGAGGCCATTTACTTGTACTGCTGGGTACGCAGCCACCACCGTGCTGACTGAAATCCATAAACCAAAGGCAGGGAGGGCTCACCTCCTGCCTAGGCTGACAACTCGGTCAGAGTAATTCCTAGCTGGGTGCTCTCAAAACTTTCATTGCAAACTTTTATCTACAGCTGCAGAGATGAATACATGTTTTCCTCTGCATACTTGTTTAAAAATTCATGTTAGCCTCTGCGTGGATCCCTCACTCCTCTCTTGTGGGCAGCTGGGATTCTTTCTGGAAGCAGGACCTCAGCCGACAGCTCCGGGTGGAGCACGTGGCAGCGCACACACCACAACCAGCTTTTTCCTGTTGCCAGTTGCTCAGACTGGTTTGCTTTGCTGCTTTTCAGCTGGGTGTGGATCTGTGACTTCATTCAGGGCTTTAAAGCCTGAAATTCGGGGTCCCTTGCCAAACCAGTGACAGGTGGGGAGGAGGAGCCTTGGTGGGGATCCGAGACACATATCCCTCACTGGGCAGGGCACTCGGGTGTGAATGGCTAAGCAGTGTGTGCATGACGAGACGGAACCATGGAGGACAGTCAGGAGACTTACGGGAAGGGGCAAAGAGCCAAGGTTCCTCCCTGTGCCGTCTGACTGTTTGCCAGGAATCGCATGGTAAAGGGTGGGGGGGGAGCTGAGAAAGGAAGCTGAAACATTAGGTTGAGGGTAAAGAATGCTTTGGGACTTTCCAAAATCGAGATGAGAGATCTTTCCAGAAGGGATTGGTATCCTCATGCAAACTGCAGGTGAAAGCACGGGCTCTGGACTGGTGACTGTGCGATTAACAGGTCACAGATGGACAGAAATCAGACCACTGTTTTCTGCAATGCAGTTAGCCACTCACCTGGAGTGGCCCTGCAGGGGAATCGACGTCTCCTTCAACCATACTGTGTTTGAGTGCAGCAGCTGCAGGAGGCGTACTGGTGTGGGTGCAGTTGTCCCCTGCTGATCCCATGCCAAAGGAAAGAGCAGCGCTAAGTGTGGCTTAAACGTTTTCTTAAACAAGGCGGTGCAGAAAAATAAGGTGGGAGTGGCAAGGTGCTGCATCATCGCTGATCCTGGTTGATCCAGTCTTCTGGGTTTTGGATCCTTGGGACTCTCAAAGGCAGAGGAAGGCCTGGAGAGACAGGAGCTCTCACTCCACGCTCCACTGTGGAGCACTGTGAGTCAGTGGTAGAGTGTGAAATTAAAAGCCAGGAGGAGTTGGCTTTATCACTTGTTGAAACCTGAAGGGAATGTTATCTAACTTGTTAACAGATCCTCTTGCCCTCTGTAGAGCAGAGGTGAACTAAGCAGCAGGAGAAGAGCTGTCTTCCTAAACATTCTCATGTTACTGGAATAAAGAAATCCTGACTTCTCACATTAAAATACTTTGTGTAAAGACCGATTTACTTGAAAAGTATACCATAGGAAGACATTTGCCTTGAGTCTTTAATCTGCTAAGCAAAGTAAAACAACTGCCTTTGAAGCCACAGAAACTGAGACTGTTGAAGTTTTAAGGACAGCACCGCTCCTCAGCATGGAAAGGCATGAGTCCGGTTTTTAGAAGCAATGTAGGCCCGCAGTCAGACTCGGGAAGAAGTCTGGTATTTAAAATACAAATTAGAATTAAATTAGGTGGTTAAGTTTAGGCGAGAAAATTAGAAGCTATCCATCTGATGAACCATGGACATACCCAACATCCTGTTGACAGCTGTAGTTTCCCTTCCTCATGTCACAGTAACGAGTAGTAAAGTTATTTGTGGGGCTGCGTTCTGCTACTACAGGACCTAGACATGCTGTGCTCCAGGCCAAGCAGAGTGCATCTGTTGGAGCAGCGGTGCAATTGCTCACCCTTCGGCGCAAAAACACAGTAGCACTGAGCTCAGCCCAGAGCGCTCACGGCAGTGAGGAACAGCAGAGGAGGTGACAGCCTGCTGGCTGTGTTCTCTGCAAGCTGAGCATAGAGGTTCATCCTACGATTCAGCCTGAGCAAGTTCAAGCTTCTGCTCTTCATCTCCTAGAAGGGGGTAGGCACAGGCAAGGCTGACGTGAGATGCTCAAACGAGCGCATCAAAAATCACATAATGGGCAGAGAAGGCACTCAAGAGACTCGGACTGAAGTTGGAAGAGAGTGTTGAAGGATGGATGTAGAAGTTACCGTGAAGTATCTTGCTAGCTCCACTGCAGTAGTCCTCAACACACGGGCAAGAACTAGAAGGAGCAAAGCTGAGGCGAAGCGGATCTGTTGAGCAGAGCACAGAAGGCATATAAAGAGCAGCCACAGGTGGAGAGTGAGGCAGATGAAGGGTTATTCATGCCGCTGCAGATGCCCGTGCGTGTCAGCCAGGCGTAACAGATGCACCCAGCAGGCTTTTGTTGCTCTGCCTGTTTCCATTTCAGGTTCTGGTGATAGATGGCCATGGAAGGGTCTTTTTTCACTGAGGAGCCCTTTGCAGTTGCTCCGTGGCTACACCAAACACCGCTGTATGCAGAGGAATGCCCACTGCTTAATGCCAGAGCAAGGCCTGCTAGCGTTTTTTTTTTTTGAGACAGATGCTGTTAGATAGCATTAAGGGAAGACAGACATGGTTATGGACAGATTTCATCTGTCACAGCAGTACAAATGCATATTGTTTCAGATTATTTTCCTTCAGGTGAATATTGGCAATTATAACTATCTTTTAGGATATCTTTTAGGATATCTTTTTATCTACCTTGACTTCAGCAAGGCGTTCGACACAGTCTCCCATAGCATCCTTCTAGGGAAGCTGAGGAAGTGTGGGCTGGATGAGTGGTCGGTGAAGTGGATTGAGAACTGGCTGAATGGCAGAACTCAGAGGGTTGTCATCAGCGGCGCTGAGTCTAGTTGGAGGCTGGTGACAAGTGGTGTCCCTCAGTCAGTACTGGGCCCAGTCTTGTTTAACTTCTTCATCAGCGACCTGGATGAAGAGTTAGAATGTACCCTCAGCAAGTTTGCTGACGA